CAGCCCAGCCCAGCCCAGCCCAGCCCAGCCCAGCCCAGCCCAAGGCAGCCTGACAGCAACACGTAACGTTGCGCAGGAGATATGTATCTTGATTGTGTGAGAGATGCATACACCCAGGTTGATACCACACCCTAGGGCCTTGCACCCCTGTGAAACATTCAATCAAAATGGGGCGTTACACGAATGTGGTCACAGGATCACAAGAAGTGCAGGATTGCAGTGTCAAAAAAGTCAGGGTCTGAAAGTCATGGTAAAGTGAGTTAACAGCAGCCACAAAACCCGGTTGGGCTCAATCACAGCTGACCGCACTGAGTGGGCAGGTGGGCGTATGCTCTACTCCTGGCACCAACAGCTGCATGCACATACACAGCTGCATCTGCTAGGAACTGCGGCTGGCCGTCTGGCCGCAGCTCGCGCTTTCGACGGACACAAACAGCAGTATTGGCACCCTCGCCTCGCCAATACCCGGCGCTATGAAGGCGCCACCGGCGCAGGCGCGCCCGGCCGTGTGCCGTCTAGGGCGTTGATTTTCTCCATATGCTCCTCCTCTAATTCAAAGCCAAGCGCCTCGACATTTTCTGCCATGTGCGTAGGTTTTGAGCTGCGAGGTATGACAGCCATGCCACGCTGCAGGGCCCAGCGGATGACGACCTAGTGTTGGGGCGCATGCCGCAAACGGGGCAGCAAGGTGAGGGTTCCGGTGTTAACAAGCGTGGTACATCCACGGGGAATCGCAGTGGGCAAGGTGCATGTGCTGCACCCACTCAGTCACCACAGCTGAGCTTGCCATGCAGGCAAATGCACTTAGGCTTGCGTGCATGCGCTCATAGACGCGCACACTCACATGTGCACACACACACGTGCGCATGCACACATAGACACGCTTGCATGCACGCAGCACGTTTGCGCGAACGCAATCACACCTGAGCAGGTGTTCTTTCAACCTCCTTGGCAATGGCCTGCGCGTTGTTGTTAGGAGAGGGGGCAGGGATTGAGAGCGCATGAACCTTTGGCGTGCATGCGCGCTGAGGACAATTGGTAGCAACAGGTTTGTCAGGACAGGGGTGATTTTTGCTCTTCTTTGCAAGGAACTGTGGGGCAATCAACTTGCGCATGCCTACAAGCCGTGTGCAAAGCCACAACTTGCTAGCCTCTACAATTGTCTACCGTATTCGTGTTGCATGCCCGCGCACCTCGATTACCGGGTGGCTGAGCACAGGGTTTGGCTCCCCGGGCTTGACAGGCCACTGAGTCCCCAGGAGAGAGTAGCTGACGAATGTGACGCCCCTCTCTAGGCAGATGTTCAGGAGATGACCGTTTGACTCCAGGGGGTCGCTGTGGGCCTGTTGAGTGTGGTAACGTGTGTGTGTGTGTGAATGTGTGTGTGTGTGTGTGTGTGTGTGTGTGTGTGTGTGTGTGTGTGTGGTGTGCACACGTGAGCACGCGTGCCGCGCATCTGCACGCGTGCCGCGCATGTATGTGTGTGTGTGCGCGCGTGTGCATGTGCGTGCGTGTGTGTAGGTGTGTGCGCGCTGTGTGTAGAGGTAGGGGCACATGACAGTGTGCGATGACAGAACTTAGAGGAAGACAAGGCAAGGCAAGAAAGCATGTGATTGTGAGTGAGCTTGGGCGCGTGCATGGGTAACTGGGCGTGCGCACACATACCCAGGTGTGAATGCTGCGTTGGTGTCGGCCGCACGCAAACTTGGTGCCAAGAACACCGCCACGCCCGCCCTTCCTGCGAACGCCTTGCCCAGCCGGCGGCGACGCTGCCCATTGCGAGGGCGACGCCCCTTGCGCGGCCGGCGGGCGCACCAACGCACCCACGGCGCGCGCACATGCACCTGCAGCACGGCCGGCTTGACCTTGGCCATGGCCAGCAGCTCAAGAAGCTCCGCCGCCTCAAAGTTGCTGACGCCTGCCAGGAAAGAGAGGGAGCAGCCGGCGGTTGCGTGCTTGTGCGCATGATGTCAACACCCGAGACGCTCAACCCCTCTCGAGCGCGTCCGCAGCTGATGGCGCTCAATGCGGCCCAACTGGCCGCTGGATGTGGTCGCGACCGAGTGCGGCGCGCCAGGGGCGAGGGGAGGGCCCACTGGTGTGCTGCTGCCGTTTCACCCTGGGGCGGTGTGTGCCTGGGGGGCATGCGTTGGCGGCGCACCTATGGCGCGCGCCCTGCCCTCCGCATACATGGTCTCCATTTCCCGCCACGACTCCTGCCACGTCGACTGGGTGGTTGTACAGGGCGGGGCGCGTAATGCGCTTTGGTGGGCCGACGTGATGAATGCGCGAGCCGCGCTGTGCTGCCACCCTGCGTATGCATACTCATGCGTGCGTAAACGCGGACGGCGGCCTGGCGAGCAGGTGTGGATGCACGGCCGGTGCCGAGGGACAAGGGCGTGTCGTGCTCGCCGCCGCGACACAGCCGCAACGCCCTTGCCGCCGCCTACGTCCGCGCGCTCGGCCCCGGGGCCGCCCGTGACGCACGCCCCCAAGTGCGCACCGCGGGGCCACCCTTCTTGCAGCCGAGCCCGTCGGAGCAGCGCGGGTAGTGGATGAGCAGCAGGTCGATGTAGTCCGTCCGCAGGTCCCGCAGCGCGCGCCGCAGCGCCTTGCGCGTCGCGCCGCGGCCGAGGTCGCGGGGGTGGATTTTTGAGGTCAGGAAGAGGCCCTCGCGCGCGACACCGCCCTGTCTGACGCCGCGGCCGACCAGGTCCTCCCTGTACCACTCGCGCGCCTGCCGGGGGGCGGGCACGGGCGCGCGGGGCCGCGGGTCGGCTTGGTGGCGGCGTGTGGAAGGACACGATGGGGAGGGCTTGTTTGTGGAGCGGGAGAGTTCTGAACAAGGGGGCCCATATGTTTGTGCCAGTGCTGCCAAGGCGGCAGGAGCGTCCGCCCCCCAAGCTCCACACCCTCCAAACGTACGCAGCTGGCGCACTTTGCACCTTGTGCAACTGCCCCCCTTAACACCCCCTACAAAAACCCGTAATATGCGGGGATGAAACAAGACAAAACAAAAACGGCTTGGATAGCCTGCCGATGACATGACAGCAAAGTCAGCGCCGCCCCGCGCAGCGTACGCGCGCGGGCGCGCGCGCGCGCCGCGTCCGCGCACCACGGCCGTGTCGAACAGGAGGTACCCTTTATTGATGGCCGCCGCCACCGCGACCGCCGTGAACTCCCCCAGCCCGGCCGTCCCCAACCCGATGGACGGCATGACCACGTTCAGCGTCTCCTCGGGGTCGACGCTCTGATCCTCCAGGGCCGCCTTCTCGGCAGCTGCCGGGTCCTCCGACGCCTCGGCCGCGGCCTGGCGGGCGGCGCGCAGCCGCTCGCGGGTCTTGTTGCCGGGGGGGCCGAGGGAGCGGAACTCGTAGGGGGAGGGGTAGTAGTACGTCGTGCACGCATGGCAGGACGCCTTGCAGTTGCGGTGCATGAAAGCAGCGTTCCTGAAGGGGCGGGATGGGGAACAGGTCGGGGTCGGCGTTTTGGGGTATCAAACAAGCTCCTTGAGTGGGTGCCGTCGGCAGCATCGCTGTCATGAATGGCGCGAAGCGGAGCCGATTGCAGGGGAAAGCCGTCGCAGGTCGGGCGGCGCGGCCTCGCTCCTTTGCCAAGGCCGTGTTTTGAGGGGCTCACTTCCTGCACTCGCCGCGCTTCTCCCAGACCGTGCACTCCTGAGACGGGGCGAGGGGCGGGGCAGGGGCAGGCAACCATGAATCAGGTGCGCGCTTCGACAGGAACCGAGCGAATGCCACGGCAAACTGATGCACGCAGAGGGGACCGTTGGAGCCGCACTCACGTGCCGCGCTTCGCATGCCGCAGCAAGATCAAGAATTGTAAGCAATTAATCAGTTAATCAATCGACCAATCGACCAATCAATCAATCAGAGTCAATTTATCAATCAGTAGATAACCTTCAAAACTCATCCCATTCGCCCAGGCCACCTGCTTGTCGTCCTTGCAGGGCACCGTCTCCAGCTTATCCATGGCTGTGCAGTCGACGCTCGCGTCGGACACCATCATATTCGGGCCGCACACCGAGAAGGGGTGCCACGCGTCGTCCTGCTGGACCGCCTGGGTGCTGCTGAGTGTTGCGACCCCCGGGCCCGGCACGTGCGCTGCCGCCGGCTTCGCCGCGCCCGCGGCCACGTGCAGCATGATGCCCCCCGCGCCGGCCGCAGCCCCGCCAGCCGCCTGCTGCCGACCCACCCGCTGCGCCTGCTGCAGCGCCGCGAGGACCTGCGCCGGCGTCGGCGCGGCGCCGACGGTCTGCGCGCCGGGGAGCCTGCCGCACGGGTTGCAGCTGGCTTTGCAGTGCAGCTGCATGAAGCCGGGGTTGCTGCCGCACTGCCCCGCCGCCGCCCACTGGCTGCACTGTTCGTGGTAGTCCCTGCAGGCGGACGGGCCCTCCAGCTCCCGCAGGTCCACCAGGGGCAGCAGCTTCACATCGCCGGCGCTCACTGCTGCGCGTGCGCGATGCGTTCACGCGGGTGGGCGTGCGCGGCGGGGAGAGGGGCTGGGCGTCTGTGCCGGCTGGGCTAGTTCGGCTGGCTGCGCGCTGGTCCCGCAGCGCTGTGCGGGGCGGGCAGGCGCCCGCTGTTGGGGTGGCCATCACAGAAACCCGATGCTGGTTCGACTGCCGTTTGGCCCGCGCAAAAGTGCAAGCAGCGAGGACGCGGCTCGCGTGGTGGGGGGCTGCGCGGCCCACCCTTGCTGCATTCACAGGATGCCGCTGCCACTGCAGGGGCTCAACCCCTGATCAACCCCTGGAGCACTCGTGCCCCAAAGCCACACCTGCGCCTTGCTGAGTGGGACGGCACAGCTTGCAGCTGGCCCTGCACTGAGTCGCCATCCAGCCTCCATGCTGAATACCACCTCCTGTGCTGTTTCCGCCGCCACCGCCGCCGCCGCCGCTGCCGCCGCTGCTGCCATTCCCGCCGCCCGTGGGGCACAGCAGCTTCTGCTGCGCCAAGAAGGGGCACAGGCTCAGGTCGTCCGAGCAGGGCGCGCGGCCCGCACCCGGTGGCGCTGCTCCCCCGCTCGTGGGCTCTGTCGTGCAGTACCCACACGTCGCCTGCGGGGCCCGATTGGTTTGCACATGGCGAGGCGGCAGAGGCAGTGATTGCATGTATGATCCACAGAATGGGTCCGAAAGGTGACGTCCAGCCACCCTAGCTGCCTCTTGGCGGCCCCTTGCGCCCCTCATCCGCTGCTCCTACTCCGACAGGCCCCGCCCGCCCACCTGGCACCCTGCGACCATGCTGTCCGCATCCCCCAGGCAGCTTCCCGCCCTGCCCAGGTCGGCGCAGTCGTCCCGCGTGTCCCTGCAGCTGCCGAGCCGCTGCACGATCCGCACGGCGAGGCCGGTGTCGGCGGCGATCGCGGCGCGCAGCAGCTCGCAGGTGCCGCAGGTGGCCTTGCACGAAACGAACCGGAGCTCGTTGTCCTGCTGACAGCGCCTGGTGAGGGGCCGGGCAGTGAGCTGTCAGTTCAAACGTTGCAGTTGGAGGGGTGGCGGCAGCTGCCTGCCGGCGCCCACACGCGTCCGTTCCATCGACCGGCTCGTCAGTGCGGAGCCTTCAACTTACTGCTGGTGGCAGCCGCCGTCGACATTGGCACGGTCGACGCACAGGAGTTCGAGCGATGCACGGGCCGGCTGCGCGGCCAGAGGTGCCGCGTCGCCTGCTGCGGGAAAATCGATATCGCCGTGAAGTCGTGTGTCTGATGCCCAGCCACCGTCGGTTCCACCTCTATCATCTTCTAAGGGCTGCGGGGCACCCCATCCGACGAACACAAAGGTGTTCAAGGCGATCGCTGCCCCGATCAGAAGCAGCAACCATGTCAACCGCATGTTACTTCCGCATGTTATCTATGCAAATCATTAGACAAAACAGTCTCGCTCGGTGATGATTGCATGAGCTGTATGCGCGTGTTGCAGCTGTCTTTCTACACGGGTCCGATGATCCGAGGTGAAGAGAGTGCAGTAATCAAGTCGTGTATCTATCTTTGTGCGACAAGTGCCGTGCAAAGGGCACGGTGGGTGGCATTTAGCAGCAGGACAAAAAGCCTCCGCTCCCTGAGCTGCCCACAACCACCCCTGTCACTTCAGTGCAGTGTGCCACGTGCGGGGCTGCGGGCCTGGTGCCACAGCAGCAGCCACTGGGGATGCCGCTGCTTAAATGAGCCCCAGCCAATCATCGCTGCAGACCAAACCTACATGTTACCACCCGCTGCTCAGCAGCCGGAGCCCGGGGGCGGCTCATTGCTCGGCCCCGCCGCCACGATTGGGGAAGGCTCTCCGATAGTCCTCCTCTGAGTAAACAGACATGCCCTCAGCCCCGACGCGCGGCCTCCGCGCACGCGGCGCCGCCGTGCCCCCAGCCCGCCGCCCGCCCGCCGGACGCCCCGCTTTTGGCGCGCCCCCATCCCTAGGCAGCTGCGCCCCCGGCTCCGCCGGCCCCTCCTCCGCCGCCGCCGCCGCTGCCGCCGGGCCCCTCGACCAGCCCAGCCCGCTCCGCGCCCGCGCCGCGCCAAGCGGCCCGGGGACCCCGCCGCCGGCCGCCTCAGCGTCCCCGGGCCCCGCTTCGCGCCCGTTGCGCTTGATGTGTTCGTCGATATCTGTCTGCATCGAGTCCAGCTCATGCATGAGGTCCATTTCGTCCTCCACCCCGTCCGGGAGCCGCATAGGGTTGATGCCAACCTGCGGGCCAGGAGAATGCCAGGTGGCCGGGTGTGCTACGTGGGGATTGGCGCTGGGTGCAAAGGGGCTGCGTCAGAGGACGACAGCCGGCTGCGTCGGCCGGGTGTGAGGAGACAGATGGGGGTGGTGCTGTGGTGCTGACATGCGAGAGACGTCCAGTCAGCAGGGAGGGAAGGGGGATGCACAAGGGTCTGTTAGCCTGCCTCCAAGCTGCAGGGACCTGGCAATTGACACGTCGCGAAGCACCCGCACCCCTCCTTGTCACGTAACAGGCTAGCTGATTGTTTGAGGGAGCTATCCTGCACGCGGATCCCTCCTGTCAAGGGAACCAGCGCGGTCCCGCCCGCGCGCGCGCACCTTTGGCGGCGCACGCGCGTCGCCGCCGCCCGCCGCCCGCGCCCAGCCGTTGAGCTGGTCCCCGCCAAACGTGATGCGGGCCACCGCCGCGACATCGCGGCTGAAGCCGACTAGCAGGTTGATAAGGACGTCCAGCGCCACCTCATCAGCAGTGCCCATGTCGCACCTGGCACAAGGGGGGGGGGGCGTGGGTGCCAAGATGGCGGTGTCTGGCAGGGCGACAAAAGCACACATGTGCGTTCCGGGAAGTTTGCGTGCGTTCGCGCGTGCGTGCGGCCGACCTTCACGCTTAGCGGCTGCTGAGCAAGACCAAAAGTCAGAAATTCGAATTTGCAAGTGAGCAATTGCAGTCAAACCAATTTGTGGAACGCCCCCAACGCCGCTCAGTGCTCAAAATTCGGAAAGCGCATGCAGTATGATGCGCCCAAGCGCCAACCCGCGAGGCGTGGCTGCTGCGGTGCTGGGCAAATAGGCAGCCGTTGGCGAACGGCCCGCAACGCGCGAGGTGCCGGGTTGGCAGGGCGGGCGCTAGGGGCACACCTGAACCGAGCCATGTTTCCGTTGAACTCGGGGTCCCCCATTTCATGCATGAAGGACGCCATAGCAGAGCCACTCTCATCGCCCCCGCCAACGCCGTCGCTGGCGCGCCGCAGCTCAGAATTGTCATAGTCCTGAGGGTTGACGTTTGCGTGTGTGCACATGTGTGGGCTTGCGCACATGCGCGTGTGGTATGCTTGCGCAAAAGGGTTGCTCAGACTTGAAAACAGGGCATGCACGCATGTTGCACGGTTTTGCGTGTGTGTGTGTGTGAATGTGTGTGTGTGTGAATGTGTGTGTGTGTGTGTGTGTGTGTGTGTGTGTGTGCGCGCGTGCGCGCGCGCACGTGCGTGTGCCTGCGTGCGTGCGTGCGTGTGCACGAGAGCGTATACGAGCCACCAGGACGCGCACTCCTTGCATGCAGGAGCGCGATGTGTGGTCTGTGCCCAGGGCTCGCGGGGCGTGCGCCTGGCATCGCAAAAGGGCATGTCGCCGGCAGCCAGCGGGCCCATGCGCCGGCACAGCAAGCGGGCACGCTTATCGCACGGCCCCCGCTACCAGGTAAGAGAGGTCCCCTGCTGAGTTGTGGTAAACCTGGGCAGCGGGGGCGGGGGGGGGAGACCAGGGGGAGTCAATCAGGCCAGGGGGCGCGCCAAGGCGCAGCAAACATGGCCAAGTTGCAAAAGGCATGGTCCCTGCAGGGACACGGGCAGGCAGCGGCGGCTTGCATTCACGGCTTGTCGCCCCGTCACACGCGCCCTGCCCCCATCCCTGCATTCCATAATCCCTGGCTGCACACGGAGGGCAGGCTTTGCTGCCGTCCCAGCGGGCACGCTCTGACATGCGCTGCTCGCAGCCGCGCTGCATGGCGCCGGCCCGCCCAGTCCCGCCCCAACCCCGGGGCATATGCGAGCGCTCGCGCCTGCAGGTTGCCGCTGTTGTACCCGCCGAGCTTCCCGATCACAAACCAGCTCTTAAGGGCGCTCGACAGCATGTCCCGCTCGCTGGACGTCAGCGGCGTCCCCAGCTCCAGCCACACCTGCAGGGGCGACCCCAAGGGTGCCGTGTTGGTGCGTACCAGGCGGCTCGCGTAGCACGTCTCATGGTCCACGGGATGGACCAAGGCCGCGGCCTGAGCCGAAACCGCGGCCAGTGTCGCCCTGTTCGCCACCGCTCGGACGGGCGACTTCTCTACTTGGCGGCCGGGTGACGCGCGCACATGCCTGCCGTCATGCCCAGCGGCGGGCATGCTGCGGGCTGAGTTGCGGCGGTTGATCATGCGTGTGGCGCTCTCACCCAAAGGTCAAAAGGATCGACCTCCCGGAAAACTACAGAGGGGGGCGCCTCCGAACCGCTGCGCTCCTGAAACAGCTCCCGCTGCTGCAGCCGGGCCTCCATCTGCGGCGGCGGCGCGTAGCGGAGGGTCGAGGGGCGCTCGTGATTGTGGGTGGCGCGGATGGGGCGACTTGATGGTGCAGCGGCGCGCACGGCGGCGGTGCATGCGCCATGGACCGCTGCCCTCACACTCAATCCCCACTATCTGGTCCCCAGCAGGCAGCTGCAGGCGTAGCGATTGCCGGGCGCCGCGGCCGATGGCTGCCGTCGAGCAATGCAGCGGTAGAGCGGAAGCTCGCTCACCCTGCTGCGCAGGACGTCCGGGTCACCGCCGGCACCCTGGAGCAGGTCCGCCACCTCATCGTCCACATCAGCATCCTCTTCAAGGATCCTGTCAGTGGCGCGGCGAAACGCGGCGTGGAAAGCGCCACATGCAAGCGCACGGCGACTTGCGCCAAGATGGCAAGCACCAGCTGAGCTGCTTCGCGGCAGCGTGCGGAGGCGCACCTGACCCAATCGGGCTTGCGGCCACGCGATGTTGGTGGGGGTTCCGGACCCATGCTCCTGCCTGCTCGGCAGCCATATACAAGCCTTTGCCAGCGAGAGGATAGCGAAGCCTGCGGCCGCCTCCATGCGTGCGTGTTGGGAATCATAGCTACAACTTAAAGCTTTTGCGATGATTGGATGACAAAAGAAGTCGATGTCGCGCAGCGGTCAGATCAGCCAGCAGCGCACCGCCTCTGAAGCCGTGCGCTCAGGCGTCTTGAATTTTTCTGAACACATGTACTGAATTGGCGAAAGCGTTGGGGGTCACATGTCGTGGCATGCAGTACTTGGCACACCGGGGCTCGCGGGGTGACACGAGATATCATTTAGCACAGAATCCACACAAGTGCCAAGCGCTACCGCAGCGTTGTCATGGTGTTGGGGCTGCATAGGGTCCTCAAACTCCCATGAAGCACAGCACTAGAGCATGGGGCGTTCGTGATGCCTGCTCAGCCCAGATGACATCACACCTCAAAAGTGAGTCAACAACCACCCCCAGCCCGAATCCACTACCGTGACCTGACATCCGCCCGGCCATCGTCCCTGTGTGCATGTTAATGAACGGCAGGTCCTTTGGCATGCATCATACAGTGGTCCACCACTCTGGCAGGCGAGATGTTACTGCATGTTGGGAAAAAAGTGCCCATGCACTTGCAGCAGCTTGGGAACGCTGGCCCGCTGCGACGGCCTTGTCAGCAAGGCGGACCACATGATGCGCGGATTGTGTCAATCAATTGTGGAAACTTGATGTCCCAGCCACCTGGTGGTGCACCGGCAAGTGTGATTGTGTTGGGCCACACGTGCTTGGTGCGGGCGGGAACGGAAGTGGCGAGGCGCATGATCCGTTGAGTACGTAGACCGTCCCACTGTAACATCAAGAACGGACTCACAAACGCTGCATCGCCAACCCAGCCACTGGCCGCGCCCTTGCGCAGGCATGCTGTGGGGGACCACCAGCGACGCCCACGCGCCCACCACGACCGGGGCGAGTCGACGACGGGCCGGATCAGCATCCCGAGCGAGAAGGGCCGACAGGACCTGCGGCATGTCTCAACAACCCTTTCGAGATATATTGCATGTTGTATTCTCATGCTTGGCCTCGGGGATTGCCTGGACGCGTTGATTCACTCTGGTGGCGAGAGACTTGTTGATTTGGCGCTGTGGGAGCCCCTCGACCACGTTTTCAATTTGTTTTCTGCAACTTCAAGCTCATATCGACGCTTTCCAGCACACACACGCGGGATTCTGGATCGCGCAAACAATCAGGCGAGTGCGTGCGTGGCGGGGCGGCCGGCCTCGCCTGAGGTGGTGCCAAAACGCGTGATCGCTTGTATACCTGGGCGGCCGAGGCTCAGAGCTCGGCAAGAACGGGGCAGGTTGCTGGCACGCCGCTTCCTTGCTGGGTGCAGTCTCCTGTGACGGCCGGCCTTGCGGATGTTTCAGGGGTGAGCAGGCTGCTTTGTGGATGCTCACGCCCGTCAAGAGATGGGAGCTACGAGGCCGTCTGGCCAAAGGCCCCGGAAGGCTACCGGTTCGCTTCAAGGATCCTGTCAGTGGCGCGGCGAACACTGGCGTGGAAAGGGCGACATGCAAGCGCACGTCGACTTGCGCCAAAATGGAAAGCACCAGCTGAGCTGCCGCCCAGCAGCGTGCGGAGGCGCACCTAACCCAATCAGGCTTGCGGCCACGCGATGTTGGTGGGGGTTCCGGACCCATGCTCCTGCCTGCTCGGCAGCCATACCGGTATACAAGCCTTTGCCAGCGAGAGGATAGCGAAGCCTGCGGCCGCCTCCATGCGTGCGTGTTGGGAATCATAGCTACAACTTAAAGCTTTTGCGATGATTGGATGACAAAAGAAGTCGATGTCGCGCGCAGCGGTCAGATCAGCCAGCAGCGCACCGCCACTGAAGCCGTGCGCACAGGCGTGTGAGCTGAAACCGCACAAATGTACTGATTCTCGAAAGCGTCAGGGGCTACCGTACATGTCGTGGCATACCGTACTTGGCACACCGGGGCTCCCCGGGTGACGCGAGATATCATTGTGCACACAGAATCCTCAAGCGCCAAGCGCTACCGCGGCGTCGTGTGGGTGTTGGGGCTAAAACATGGGTACTCAGACTCCCATGAAGCACAACGCCAGAGCATGGGGGGTTCCATGATGCCTGCTCAGCCCAGATGACATCACACCTCAAAAGTGAGTCAACAACCACCCCCAGCCCGAATCCACTACCGTGACCTGACATCCGCCCGGCCATCGCCCCTGTGTGCATGTTAATGAATGGCAGGTCCTTTGGCATGCATCATACAGTGGTCCACCACCCTGGCAGGCGAGATATTACTGCATGTTGGGAAAAAGTGCCCATGCGCTGGCAGCTTGGAAACGCTGCCCCGCTGCGACAGCCTTGTGAGCAAGGCGGACCACACGACGCATGGACTGTGTCAATACTTTGCTGAAACTTGACGCTCAAACCACCTGGTGGCATACGGATACGATTCATGGTGTATGGCCACACTTGCTTGGTGCGGGGAACGGAGGGGGGAAGGCACATGGACCGAGGCCAGCCGTTGAGTAGACCGTCCCGCTGTAACACCAAATCACGGACTCACACATGTTGGATTGTTAATCCAGCCACTGGCCGCGCCCTTGCGCACGCATGCTAAGGGGGACCACCAGCTACGCCCACGCGCCCACCACGAGTCGACGACGGGCCGGATCAGCATCCCGAGCGAGAAGGGCCGACAGGACCTGCGGCATGTCTCAACAACCCTTTCGAGGTATATTGCATGTTGTATTCTCATGCTTGGCCTCGGGGATTGCCTGGACGCGTTGATTCACTCTGGTGGCGAGATACTTATTTGTTGATTTGGCGCTGTGGGAGCCCCTCGACCACGTTTTCAATTTGTTTTCTGCAACTTTAAGCTCATATCGACGCTTTCCAGCACACACACGCGGGATTCTGGATCGCGCAAACAATCAGGCGAGTGCGTGCGTGGCGGGGCGGCCGGCCTCGCCTGAGGTGGTGCCAAAACGCGTGATCGCTTGTATACCTGGGCGGCCGTGGCTCAGAGCTCGGCAAGAACGGGGCAGGTTGCTGGCACGCCGCTTCCTTGCTGGGCACAGTCTCCTGTGTGACGGCCGGCCTCGTGGATGTTTTGAGAGTGAGCAGGCTGCTTTGTGGATGCCCATGCCTGTCAAGCGGTGGGAAACGAGGCCGTCTGGCCAAAGGCCCCGGAAGGCTAGCGTAGTGCAAGCCCCGTAGGGGGATGGCAAACGCGGCTCCAGTTATACATACAACCACCGGCAATCAAGCTGGCACGACCTGGGCTGGCTGGGTCTCGCGTCCAGGCAGCGCATGGCCAGCAACACGACGCCCCCTCGCTGACCCATGCGTCGCGCGCTGCGCACCCCACACATCACCGCTTCCTGTGTGCCCTGCAGAGCGCGCAGCACCACGGTTGTGTATCCGCGCAAATCAGCAGCCGTGGGCTCTAGCAGCCGGTCGTTCACCCCAGCAAAGCGACGTTGGAGCCCGAAAGCGGCTCGCGGCCCCAGGGCGAGCCATGGGCCAAGCGAGGCCCGATGGCGGAACATGAGGCCTTTGGGGCAGGCGCCCTCAACGGGCGCCAGCAGCAGCGGCAGCAGCGGCTTACTGCAGACGGCAGTGGCGGGACAGCAGACAACCTCCCACGAGGAGCCACGGGGGCGGGCGGTCTGGCGGCGGCTGCAGGTGGGCCGGGAGGGCTCTTGGGCCCTTGGCAGGGTTGGTTTGGGGCGGTTGGGGAGACTGAGAGATGATGCATAGCAGGGTGGTGTCGCTGGCGGGCCGCGCTTACAGCGGGTGGATGGTGGGACACGCCTGCGGCGGCAGCGGCAGCGGTGGCAGCTGTGGCAGACCGCGCCTGGGGCTACCCCACCACCGTGCCCAGTTTGTCGGTTACACTTTGCCCATCTATGCATACGGCCCGCAGGCCTTGAAATGGCACCCCCATCGGAGGAGCTGCCATCAATTCCAGAGAATATGCAGCTGGATGAGGCGGGCGCCCACGGCGACGACGAGCCGCGGATTGCAGCGCAGCGGCGGCGCCACCACCACCACCAGGGCGTTGGCGGTGGCGGCGGCGTTCGTCCTTACCAGCAGCACCATCACCACCACACGCGGCGCAGCAGCGCGGCTGCGGCGCATGCGCCGCCGACCAGGGCGCACAGCGGCAGCGGTGGGGAGGAAAATGACACGAGCATGGGCGAGGTGGGCGGGGGCCAAGGGCGGGCCGTGATTGGCAGCTGTTTTGTCGTGGGATTTTTTGACCATGGGTTGGCACTCAGCCCACGCGCCGCGTCGCGATTTTGAATTGGCTGGGCCTGCACGCGCGGCAGTGGGATTCATGCCCTCGCATCAGTGGGCGCCTTGGCTTTGGCTCTGTGGGAGGGGAGGGAAGGGGAGCGGGTGAGTGAGAGTGCGAGGCCATAGCAAACCTCTATTCTCAGCTTCTTCCCCTCCCACCCTCCCGTGCCTGCTTGCAGGCTCCGTCCCTGCCGCTGGACGGGCAGCAGCCGCCCAGCCTTGCCCAGCCCAGCTCAGACCAGCACGTCGCGGGCGTTGAGCCGCGCGGCGGCCGGAGCCCGCCGTCCGGCCCGCGCCCCGCGGCCCGCCCCCCCGCCCAGCGGCAGCCCGGGCTGTCCCCGAAACGAGGGCCCGAGCTGCCAAGCGATGATTACCTCATGGCCATGATTGGCGGCGGGCGCGCCGGCTCGGGCAGCCCCCGCGCCGCCCGCGCGCGCGCCGCGCTCAGCCACAAACGGCCGCACCAGAGCGACAGCGCCATCCCCAATGCGCTGCGGGCCCCAGATGGCGGCGGCGTCGGCGGCGCGGCGTCGGGTGGCGCGTCGCCAGAGGTGCCGCGGCCTGCAGCGTCGTGGCATGGGCCGCCGGCACGCGGCGGAGGTGCAGCTGGGGCAGGAGGCAGGGGCCCAGAACTGCCAGAGAGTTTGTACGTGCATGATTTGCTGGAACGCCCGGCGCGCCGCCAGCGCAGCAGCGACGACGG